ATGACTCTCAAGGCTCTGTTTCACTTATCAATTTATTAATTAGTTATAAATTCTGTCCCTTCTCATCTGATTAATTTCTTTAAATTCCCCTCCATTTATCCTAACTAACGGAGCACTTCTCTAAGCCTAGTTCAGGACTCATCAGTTTCTGTCCTCAAAAGCTGCAGCTTATCCCCCTCTCAGTTCACTGGACATTCCTTCAGGATTGGAGCCGCTACTACAGCAGCCGAGCGTGGCATCTCTCCAGCTGCTATTAAAATCCTGGGCAGGTGGTCCTCCTCGGCATTTGAATCCTACATAAGACCAGATTCAAAATCTATTCTCGAAGCTCAGCAAGCTCTCCAGTCATGATCTAGGTAAATTCCTATTTATCTACTGGTGGTGGTGTTTTTGCCAAAGCGGCTGGCACTTTTTATGATAGCATGGTTTAGCTACTAAACCAAGATGGCCTGCGGGCTAAGTGTCTGCTTTAACGGCGTTTCACACTATTGTTCTAGACGGCCCGCGGCCATGTGTCCCATCTAGATGGCTTGTGGCCCACGTGTTCTTCCAAAAGATTGGCCTGCGGCCCATGTGTCCTATCAAAGATGGCCTGTGGCCATGTGTCCTATCAAAAGATGGCCTGTGGCCCATGTGTCCTATCAAAAGATGGCCTGTGGCCCATGTGTCCTATCAAAAGATGGCCTGTGGCCCATGTGTCCTATCAAAAGATGGCCTGTGGCCCATGTGTCCTATCAAAAGATGGTCTGTGGCCCATGTGTCTTATCAAAAGATGGCCTGTGGCCCATGTGTTCTATCAAAAGATGGCCTGTGGCCCATGTGTCCTATCAAAAGATGGCCTGTGGCCCATGCGTCTTATCAAAAGATGGCCTGTGGCCCATGTGTTCTATCAAAAGATGGCCTGTGGCCCATGTGTCCTATCAAAAGATAGCCCGTGGCCACGTGACTCTTCAAAGATGGCTATATAAAATATATAAAAAAAAAAAAGAAAAAAAAAAACCCACACTAATTCTAATTTCTTTTCTATTTTAGGATCTCCAGGATTCACGACCGGTGGGTTTACTTCCTCTACCGTTCTTTGGGGGTGGGCTCCGTCCCGGTGGATTATTATTCCACCTACTTTTGGGGGTCGGCTGCGCCCCTGCCTTCGTCTTCAGGCAGGAAATGCAGAGTCCGGACCCTCGGATTGCGAGCTATGGACGGGGCCTACGCCAAAGAACTTTATTGCTTGCTGGGCTATCAATAAATGTATTTATTGTTACAGTATTTATTCTCCCGAGTCTTTCTGGTAGAAATGGAAGCTCTAGCGTTAAGTTCTGCCAGGAAGACTCAATTGCTGCGTCACTTATTACCTTCTCATCTATCCAATCGTGTCTAAGACTTGTGGTATAAAAGACCAGTACTTACACATGTCTGAGTTCGCAGATGCTGACGCTTTCATGCACCTCCATCCTCCCCACCACCACCAGGATGGTCCCTTCCCCTCCATCCTCCATCCTCCCCACCACCACCAGGATGGCCCCTTCCTATACCTCACGGGGGGTCGGCTGCGCCCCTGCCTTCGTCTTCAGGCAGGAAATGCAGAGTCCGGACCCTCGGATTGCGAGCTATGGACGGGGCCTACGCCAAAGAACTTTATTGCTTGCTGGGCTATCAATAAATGTATTTATTGTTACAGTATTTATTCTCCCGAGTCTTTCTGGTAGAACTGCCTATTCACGCACCAGTGGGGCTCGACAGCCTTAGTCAACGGGTTGGCGCGTATGGTTGGGCTGCGGAGAGATTGTGAGATTGTGGTTAGGTCTCAGCAGCAGGAGGGACGTAGAGGTCAGTAAGCTGGGCTGAGTTGAGTGGGGGACGGAGGGGGGTGATTTTGGGATGCAAGAGTCACTGTCTTCATGTTTTGTCATTTACGCCTGTGTTATGGAAATCATCATTATGAACAGCAGCTACGCTAATTATTTTCCCTTTGCTTTTCTGCTGTTATCTCGGGACGCGAGTCCCGAGAAAATGGCGTTCATCAGCTCCAGTTTGTATCCAGCCTCTCACGGAGACTTCAGATGCTCCAATCACAAAGCCTGTGAAGTGACGACTCAGCACGGGCGATATGGACTCTCTATGGTGGACGGCACTGATCCTCAACAACTCGTCTTAAGACCGGCGTGCATACTTGGACTTCCAAAAAATACTCTAAATGTTCCGATCCAATCTGACTTGTAATGCTGCCCGAATCATGCACTGTTCCTTCGTTGGCCAGAGGAGAACTGGCCCCCCGACTGAGTCTGGTTTCTCCCAAGGTTTTTTTCTCCATTCTGTCACCTGATGGAGTTTTGGTTCCTTGCCACTGTTGCCTTGGCTTTTGGCTTGCTTAGTTGGGGACATTTAACATTTAATATTATTGATCTGCCTTACTTAAGGTGGACGTTGACGCAATTTCTTTTAGAAACAAACTTTGTTATATTGTTTTCATGTTATCACTGTGAAGCGCTTTGATACAATCTGTATTGTAAAAAGCGCTATATAAATAAAGGTGACTTGACTTGACTTTTTCAAAAAAGAATCGATACTTTTTCAAAAAAGAATAAATATTGTTTATGCATGGTTATTGAAAAAACTAAAACGTAAAGTTTCTGAAATAAGGCCACAAAACACATACTAAATATGTGTCCACAAGACTTTTGACTAATGGATGTTCTCGCCTAGAGTTTTTTCTTCAAAATGATCTGAAAATCATCCTGCCTAATCATTCACATAAAACAATACATTGCTTTAAATTTTGTAACACACTTTTTTTTTGGAAAGCCAATATGCGGGAATAATGCTCTGAATAATGCTCTGATTCACACCTGAGAAGACAATGACCTGCATAATGACCCGCATAATGAGCCTTTCTCACAGGTGTGTCACTGAGCCACAAGAAAGAATGCAAGGACAAAAAATATATACTACAAAATTGGTTCACAGTTGGAAACATCTCGAAAAAAAATCTGTATTTTTCCATTTGTATTTTTGCTTGCAAATTGTATAATATACAAGGTAAACATTTCTAGTAATTGTGTAGTTAATTCACATACTGTATTTTCAGAAAGTTTTGGAATATATCCTCTCCCCAAATTTGTCACTAATAAAACAGAAAAATAATTTAAAGGGAAGGCTTATATTAAGCTTTTAAGATTTTGTTTACATCTACCTTGTAAATATATTCTTTGGTATTTTATTAAAAACGTTACAATTACAACAACAATTAAAATTGTATATTACGTGTGCATATGATACGCACTTTATGGCGTGGAATACACACGCACTCCACACCCCTAATCCTGCCCAATGGGTTTACAGTGCGTATCATTTGCACGCAAAAACTACATTGTACAAAACTACAAAACGTTACATTGTAATAAACGTATAATTGCATTGTAATAAATGTATAATAAGACTGTACCAAATGTATAATAAAAAAATTGTAAGCTACTTTTTTCAAAAAGAATCGCTAGTTTCTCAAAAAGATTCGCTACTTTTTTCAAAATGAATTGCTACTTTTTTCAAAAAGAATCGCTACTTTTTCAAAAAGAATCGCTACTTTTTTCAAAAATAATAATGTAACAAAATAATAATGTAACAAATGTATTATAATAATAATAATAATGTAACAAATGTATAATAACACTGTAATAAATGTATAATTACATTGTAATAAATGTATAATAACACTGTAAACAATGTATTATTAATCCAATGTAAATTCGATTGTAATAAACATATAATAACACTGTGATGTATAATGACATTGTAATAAACGTATAATTACATTGTAATAAACGTATAATAACACTGTAATAAATGTATAATTACATTGTAACAAACGTATAATTACATTGTATTAAATGTATAATTACATTGTAATAAATGTATAATAAGACTAACAAATGTATAATTAAATTTTTTACGCTACTTTTTCCAAAAAGCATCGCTACTTTTTCAAGAAGAATCGCAACTTTTTTCAAAAAGAATCGCAACTTTTATCAAAAAATAATCGCTACTTTTTAAAAAATAATCGCTACTTTAAAAAAAAGAATCTAACAAAATAATAATGTAACAAATGTATAATAATATTAATAATGTAACAAATGTATAATAACACTGTAATAAATGTATAATTACATTGTAATAAACGTATTATAACACTGTAATGTATAATTACATTGTAATAAACGTATAATTACATTGTAATAAATGTATAATAACACTGATAACAATGTATTATTAATCCAATGTAAATTCGATTGTAATAAACGTATAATTACATTGTAATGTATAATAACAACCTTGAAAAGAATCGCTACATTTCTCGAAAAGAATCGCTACTTTTTTACTTCAGAAGTAAACAGTGTAGCTGACTTAATGTTTAGCTGACAGATTGTTTATTTTTAAACCAAAATTTTTAAGCCACAACCCTCTCTAATGTCAGAATGTTTATTTTTAAACCACAACTTCAATGTGTGCTTCTTTTACAAATATATTTAACGATATCTTTTGCATTTCTAATCCAAACAATGTCAAACTCGGCACTGCACTTACTTGTGCCAGTAGCAAGACACCTGTCAAGTTTGAAATCCATTGGACTAACGGTTCGAGAGATATTCGATTAACAGACAGACAGACAGACAGACAGACACACAGACAGACGTTCCTGTAGTTTATAGATAGATTTAAAATAAATGAATATATAATATTAATATATAAAACTGCACACACACACTATTCACAGAATAATTTTCAGAATAAAAAAAAAGCACAGGATTCCATGAACAATCCCTGAGTAATTTGCCCGTATCTAAGGTTATCCATGAGACGAAGACTTGTCTACACACAGACATATGCTGACGTCTCAGGTTCCTTAAGCTCAGAACTGCCCATGAGGGATCATAGCTGTGTATGTGTGTGTTTGTAAAGATGTGTCCAAGTGGTTGAGATATTATTAGGTCAGACCAACCCCTTCCTGCTGACAACGCTAGGATGGCCAAAAAAAGCCCAGAGGGTTCGTGGAGTTCTGGGAGGAGAGGGGGTTTGGTGTGGAAGCAGCAGAAATGGCCAGCAAAGGTGAGAGTCTTCCGCAAAAACCGAACAGCACTGGGACTGAGGTCACCTGAGCTATTTTGTTTACATGTGTAATGCGCTGGTATGCGAAGAGCAGGTTGTAACTGAGGAAAGTGTGTGTGTGTGTGTGTTTGTGTGTGGGCGGGGGGAGGATCAGATTGAAGCTGAGTGGTTTACACTAGAGGTGTAGTAATACTGACTAGTCAGCACATCACACAGGACTTCTCAATGGGAATCTGATGGATGGACTGCTTTCAGGAGTGGACTGATGCATGACTCTAGGATTTTGAGGCAGAGGGAGAAAAGGAAGCATTGATGTCTGAAAGAATGAGGTGAGATCTTCTCTCAGTCTTATTTTGGCAGCGCTGGCATATACGTCTCCCCGGAGAGATTCAATCTGACCCGGCCATGTTAGGCAGCAATAAAGAGGAGTGAATGCCTCGTGGAAGACTTTTTTAGTAGGGTTTGGATTGATCTGATAATGGCTCCTTCAGCTTTGCACCAGTGTGCGCCACAGCACAGATTTGCACCTGCGTTTGAAAGATAATCGGAATCAACAGCTGTTGGGGTCTATTGGCTTTACAGCGGAAAGGGCGTGAAAATGCACACTGCCATTAGCTGTTCCACTTGGGTTGTGTCCATGCACTCTCTCTGACACAAGGCCTTATTGTCCATTTATCTCATATGTTTGCCTCAAAGAGCATTTGCTATAATTTATTGCAGTTGTACAAAAAACTGTGCAAATAATTGATAGATGAGCTCGTGGACACCTGGACAGTGGACGATTCAGATTAGTCTGTTCATATACAGACAAAATGCATATGCGTTTATAGACTTGGCGTGTTTGGCACAGCCTGGGGTGTATAATGTGATCAAGCTTGGCTGGACAATGACGTGGTTTCCTCAAGTGTTTCTGGTGGAGTCGGCCTTGAACACATGTCTGCTTTTCATAATAATCAATAATCAATGCTAAATGAAAATCTTCATTTTAAAAGCCTTTTTAAAAGTAAAAAAACTCAGTAAAGTCCTTGACAGCATTAAGGCCACTACTTTATGTTTCTGTGAACTTTTTAATTCCACTTGTTCTTTTCTGTCCTTTTGTGTTGTTTTCATATTCCACTGAGTCTTGTTTATCCTTTTATTGTGCTATTTGAGAGCTTTTACACTGCTTCACGTTGCCTGAAATTTACCACAAAGAAGACTGAGAATGTTTAGCCTGACAGGGTATTTACTCAAAATGTACTCTACCCATCCCATTCCTGGTAGATCACTTGTTTTACACAAACAAAGTTAGATAGTTTGGTGGCTGAATGACATTATCACTACAATGACTGCAATTTCAGTACATTAAATACATCCAGATCACAACTATTTTACTCTCAACAAATGTTGTGTTGACAGTCATACAGATGATCACTCACTGCTAAAGCTTCCTGCTAGCTAATTAAAAAAAGGTTACAGATGTTTATGTGTTCACATATGCCGTCAGTTTTTGCATTTTATATTTTCTTCCCTCTGTCAAACCTAAATTATCATACATTACACATTAGGGAGAAAGAGAGAGAGAGAGAACCCTTCTTGACAGAGATGATTCAGCTTCCTATGTATGATGTCACTTCCATTATTTGACTGACTTTAAAATTAAGGGACATAAGAAAATTAGTGCTTTATTTAATTAATCTATAATTTTTTAACATATATTTGGGGAATAAGATTACAGTTCAAACAATATGCAAATGTGAATTTTAGTCTTTTGTCAAATTAAAAGTCCCACTAAATGTAAAAAGCCCAGAGTGAAATATAGGCCAATTTGCTTACTCTCTTCTCTGCAAAAAATGTCTTAATTCTCCAAAAATAATACTAGTAATTTGGTTTAAATTTAAAAGAGAAAAGACAGTTCCGAAAACAGAGAATTTCTTTAACATTTTATCAATTATTCATTCTAAAGTGAATTCACTCAACTAAAGTTTATGGAATCACTCCATAAGAATGGATGAAAATCTGTAATATGATAGTCTGTTTTACCACACACATTACCAGACACTGTGTAAACATGCACATCTGCATGCCTTTTTGGGGCCGACTTCAAAGCAGTACTGCATGATCTTTGCATTTTTCCCTCAGTCGCTTTCCATCTTTCAGCCTGGCTATGCCTCTTTATGTGTTTATTTCCCTGACGTTCCACACATTAATTTTTCTTGCCCTCTCTAGTGTTGGATCTGTTATACTGGCGAGATGTGGGGACCACCGGGCTGGTGTTTACTGGTTTGGTTGTGGGTTTGGCTTGTTTGTTCCAGCTCAGTGCCATCACGGTCCTGTCTAACCTCGGTTTGGGCATTATGGCCTTCACCCTCCCTGTACGCTTCCTTTACAAAGCTTCGACACTTGTCCGCCTCAGCGATGGATCTCATCCCTTCCAGTGAGTATGCTGTAAAACAATAACAGTTTAAAAAGCAATAACCTCAAATATGTATCTGACACTGCTGTTTACTGTAGCTCTTAAATGTAAACTACTCAATATTACTTCTTTAGTATATTAGAATATAAACTTTTTTTTTTATTAAACTGTATAAAATAACAAATCGCAATAGTGGTGTGTTATGGAAAAAACACTCTTGTTTATGTGATATTGCTTATAAAATTACAGACAACAACCCCAGTCTGCCCTATTTGCAAGCTGTTTTGAATGGACGAGTTCACTCTGATACAGTCCATATCAAGTTGTTCATGGGTTAAAATGTTCATTCTTGAGATGCATAATAACAGTTGAGCAGATTTAAAACAAAAATTGAGTGAATTGGCAGGAGCTTGACGGAGGGAAAAGCAACACAAATAAGTTGGGATTAATGCATGTAATCTTTCTCAGCTGGTCCACTTTTCTTTATTAAAAAGGTCATATTTGGATGAGGACCGCACGCTGACAGATGAGGACACAGTCCGCATGGCGGAACAAACCGTTCTGCTGATTGCTACGGCTGTCACCGAGATAAAGAGGCTGTTCTTCATCGATAGCATCATGGACTCAGTGAAGGTCTCGCACACATCTTAAATATCTCACCTCAGCTGAGCAGTTTTTACGCTTTTACTGCAATTTATGACCTACTTTCACTACATCAGGGGATACTGCTGACTTACGTAATTAGTCCTGATATTAAATATTACCATGCACTTTCATTCCCAAAGGCAAAGGTGCTGGGAGAATAAGCATGTGAAAGTGAAGAAATTCATATTTGGAAAAAAGCTGAACTTTATTATTATAAGAACAAAAGGTTCCTGTAGCTCCCCTGGTTCAGCAAAATATAAAATATATACCGTAGGCTACCTTCATTGCACTTTTAATCTCTTCAGATAAAAGCATCTTGCAAATGAATAAAATGTAAATCTTAAGTATAACCATTCAAAATGAAATATATTGCTTTTATCTGAATGACTGTATTTTATTTGTTTGTGTAGTTTGTTGTGTTCCTGTATTTGTTGACATATGTGGGGGTCCAAGCTAATGGTCTCACGCTGGTGATGACCGGTAAGGATATCCTGCTGAAATTTGTAATGTAAAGCAAATCATGACTGAAACAATTTAACTAATATTATTCAAAACCGCTGAGTTCTAAACAACTGTGTAGATGTTACATGGCGTTAATGTAATCCTTTCACTTCTGAACAGGTGTGATATGTGCCTTCTCTCTGCCACTGTTATACAGACTTCAAAAGGTAAGTGCATCAGTTGGATTTTAGAGACCTATATTCAAAGTCTTGAAAAAAAGCCTTAATATGCATACACTCAAAATAAAGGCTCTTTGTGGCATCAATGGTTCCACGAAGAACCTTTAACATCCATAGAAACTTTCCATTCCACAAAAAGTTCTTTAGATTTTAAAAATGTTCTTCACACCAATGGCCCGTTCACACCAAGGACGATAACTATAAAGATATAGTTCTAAAAATCATTCTCAATATTAAAGAATAGCAGAGTTCACGCCACAGCTATAATGATAACGGCACAGAGAAACAATATCATTGGAATCACTTTCAGAACGATTTTATTCAACTGATGAACAATAAAAACATTGACAGCCAATCAGAATCCATCCTACTATAACGAGCTTGAGCATTTAAAGTGACAGACAAGCACGTGCGAATAAACAGAAAGATATTGTCCACTAGTGTGGACGCTAGGGCTGCACGAATAATCGCAATTTACATATAATCGCACTTAAACCGATTTGGCTTATCGCGATTTTGAAATCACAAAGGCTGCGATTATTGTTTATGCGCAGCTTGTCATTGATGTACGGCTCTGTAAATGCTGCTTAATCTGAAAGCACTGTGAGCTTGAGTCACTTATAACATGCATTTGCAAAAGCAACACGCGTCAAACATCTTTCCAAATATGAGAAGCATTTATGAACCTCTTGTCCAACAAAAGACAACATTTAATAACATGCTTTTACTCCAAAATCACTTCATAATGGCCGTTGAGCATCCTTCTGTAAGATTATGTGGCTTCTTACACAGAATAAGGCCGTGTTTATTAGTCATGTTTAATCAATCAAAGCGTTTTAATCTTCTGTTTATTCAGCTGCAGCGATGATGCCCATAGGGATTTCCTGGAATGATGCGCGTTATTTACTTCTGCGATGGGGCATATTTGGAGTGTCTGCGTGAGACGCCCCCTGGTGTTCAGATGGAGCAGCATTTACTACCGATCAGCCGTGGTGCACTGACAAGCTGCGCATAAAATAATCGCAGCCTTTGCCAAATCTCGTGCGGTTTCATTGCGATTAAATGTGCAGCCATATTATACACTGTAAAAAAAATATGATTAATAAGTTACAACAACATATGTTTTTACATTGCATAAATCATCAAAATAAGTTAAGCAATTTTCAACTTTTTTTACAAGTTAGAAGATTTAACTAATTTTTTAAGTCAGTTTAATGCAATTGAAATGACTTAAACATCTAAGTTAACTGTACTTAAAACTGTAAGGCAGCAACTTTTTTTTTTACAGTGCTTTATAGTTTGTTCTTGGTGTGCACGCACGGGCCTTAAGAAAAAAAAAGTTCTTCTATCCATAAGAGCTGTTCACCGAAAGGTTTTTCGGAGAATCCAAAGGGTTCTTCTATGGCATTATGCAAAAACACCCTTTTGGAACCCTTATTTTTAAGAGTGTAGGTAAAAAAAAGAGTTTAGAAACTGAATGTGTTAGGTAACAGCAGGAATTTACCATTTCCCTCATTTTCCTAACCAGAAATTCACTTTTTATTAGATCTCACTAATTTATGCACATTGTCTCACACACCATAGGCTATTTCAAACTTGACTCTTAAATTTTATTTTCCTTTTTAACAGGGGAGGATTGACAAGATTGTTAAAGCAATCAAAAAACTTGTGGATAAAATCACAGAAATGTAAGTAAGAAGGAAAAAAAATCAAGCAATTTAAATTTACATCATTCCAAATATTTAATTTCTCCTTGCAAAGAAACAAATGATGCTCAAAACACTATATATTCAATATATGACTTTAATGAACTAAAAACAACCGTGGTTTATTTTCTTGAATTTATCATGTTCCCTTTCGTTGTCACTCCGAGTTATGTCGGATGACGACGAATGGGGTTTCGCTTAGAAAGCCTATCAACTACGAGTATTACAAAACGAGCCAATGGCAAAGAAATGCCATGGGTCTGCGGAATTTGCATGGCGCAACTCCGCCCCACCTCGTGAGTATAAAGGAGGATGCCAGCAACATGATGCAGATATGTTTTTCGCTTCGGAGCCAAGGTAATCCTTCGCTCCACAGCCATCTCTGAACTGTCAGCTTTACAAGACGAGATTCTCTGGTGTTGGTGTGACGGCTATTCCCAGCAAGTGCACACTTCCTGCTTATCTGTGCAGTGGTTTGCCAGTGAGTGTGTTTCTCCCTGGACGCTTCAACGCTTGAGTTTCCTCTCACAAAAGAGCTTGCGCGCGGCACGTCTTTTTAAAGATGCCTCGTCCGTGCACTTCTGGTTGCGGTAGACTCGTGTCTGACTCTGATGGGCACGAGCGCTGTCTAGTGTGTTTGGGCATTGATCACGCAAGAGCAGCGCTCGTGGATGACTCATGCTCTCTCTGTGGGAACATGACCATCGCGTCACTACGATCGAGCCTCAATGATCTCGCAAGAGTGAGAGTCCCCTCATCCACACCCCGATCTACTTCCTCTAAACCTAGAGCTAGTACTTCGGCTGGTGGCCAGGGTGACCTGAGGGTGACGGTGTGGAACAAGGCGCAGACTATTTGTCCGTGCCCCGCACCTCCCCCTCCAGTGACGGTGCCCGTTAGTGTTCAGGGGATTCCCGCGGGACCATCTTCGGATGCCCCGCGAGTTTCCTTTGGCGCTACAGAGGAGGATGCAATGTCTATCGCTGCATCACAAGGTGGGCAAGATTCATCGAGTGAAGACTCAGCAGCGCTGCCGCCTTCGGGCGTGCAGTCGTTCGCCATGCCTGATCCTGAGATCACGGCCATGCTTTCCCGGGCCGCGAGCATCGGGTTAGAGTGGACCCCTCCACCCTGTTCCGAACGCTCCCGGCTGGACGATTGGTTTTTGGGTGCGGCCGCCGACTCTCGTCCGTGGCCAACCCCAATACCTTTCTTCCCGGACGTGCATGATGAGATCTCAAAGTCCTGGAAGACCCCCATGTCTTCCCGGGACCGCTCGCTGATCTCATCCGCCTTTCCTCCCCTAGATGGGGTAGCTGCCCGTGGGTACACTGGGCTCCCCCTGGTTGAACGCTCTGTTGCGATGCAAATGTGTCCTCAGAGTGCTTCTTCTCGTGGCGAGCCTAAGCACCCATCCAAAGCCTGTAGATTTTCGTCTACGTTAGTGGCAAAGTTTTAAAGAGCGGCGGGACAGGCGGCTGCTTCTCTGCATGCTATGGCCACTCTGCAGGTCTACCAGGCCCAGATGCTCAGAGACATGCACGAGGGTAGGACAGACCCAGGGCTCTTTGATGAGCTGCGCGCCACCACCGACCTCGCTCTCCGGGGGCGACGAAGGTGACCACGCGCTCCCTGGGTTTGGTGATGTCCACAGCCGTGGTCCAGGAGAGACATCTCTGGCTGAACCTGGCTGACATGCAGGATGCCGGGCCGTCCCGTCTGCTCGACACCCCCATGTCCCAGGCCGGCCTTTTCGGCGGTTCTCGACGGCTCAGAAACAGACTGAGGCCATTAAACACATTCTGCCCCGTCGGCCCGCTGCTGCCTCCACCCAGCCGACCGGGCAGACTCCTCAGTCTGTTCGCCGCCAAGGGCGCCCTCTTGCGGCTCCCGCCCCTACCGCCCGGCCCAAGCAGCAGCCTTCACCCGGGCCAGGTCGTGGAGGAAGCCGCAGGAAGGCGCCCCAGCCCTCTCCAGCCCCGCCCCCGCTAAACCCCGGGCCAAGTGGCGCTCCTGAGACGGGCTGCTCAGAGATGACTGTCACTTCTCAGGAGATGGTAGCAGGACCACTCCTTCCCCCAGTGCAGGGCTGGGGTAGAATCTTTTGTTCTCCACTCCCCGCTGCTCACCCTCGGGTGGGCAGCACCCTAATGTGGTTAAAGAAAGAAGTGACACCCTCACCCCTGAGCACACAGAGTTCTCGGACGACACAGTGCGCCGCCCTCGGGTCGTGCACCCCTCGTCCTCCACTGTCTCAGAGTCGGATGACAGTGCGTGCCGTCACCCGAACCGTACCGCTCTCATCCGCCTCTGTCGCCAGACCCCTGGCAGAGCAGGCCTCAGCGGAACGCGGGTCCTTCCCTGGCCTCCTCTGTCAGGGTGCGGTTGATGACTGTGATGATGATGATGATGAATTTTATTTATAATGCACTATACATTTGACATCAAATCTCATAGTGCTTACAAAAAAAAAAAAAAAAATAGACAAAACAATACCCAGACACTTAAAAATACATTAAAATACTTAAAAATACGCTCTTCTAAAAAGATAAGTTTTAAGCTCTTTTTTAAAAACATCCGTAGTCATGGGAGCTCTGAGATGTTCTGGAAGGGCATTCCATAGACGAGGGGCGGATGCTTTAAAAGCCCTGTCGCCCATATTCTTAAGCCGTGTCCTAGGTGTAACCAGGAAATGCCGTTTGCCTGCTCTGGTCCGGGTGGGACTGTGCCCCCACACCGGGCCGCTATGCCATCCACGTCCGGGCCGGTCACTCCGCTTCGCTGCTCCACCGAGGCGACGTCTGTGGTTCACATGACCCCGCTGGTGCAGTACTCGGGAGCCTGGCTAGAGCCTCCCCATCTGTCCCGCTGGGTCGCACGAACTATCAGGCTCGGCTACGCGATTCAGTTCGCGCGGTCTCCTCCCCGCTTCAGGGAAGTCCGCTTCACTATGGTCGGAGGCAATGCCCCTGTCATGAGAGTGGAGGTTGCTACCCTACTGGTGAAGGGTGCGATTGAGACTGTCTCTCCAGCCGAAATGAGGTCCGGCTTCTACAGCCCCTACAGCCCCTACTTCATTGTCCCAAAGAAATCCGGTGGGTTACGGCCAATCCTGGACCTGCCGTTCAAGATGCTCACAGCCAAATGCATTTTCGAATGTGTGCGGCCCCAGGATTGGTTTGCAGCAATCGACCTGAAGGATGCCTAGTTCCATGTCTCCATTCTCCCTCGACACGTTCATACAGTTTACTTTTGAGGGAAAGGCATACCAGTACGCGGTTCTCCCTTTCGGGCTAGCCCTGTCTTATCGCGTCTTTACGAAGGTCGTCAAGGCAGCCCTTGTCCCCCTTCGGGAACACGGGGTTCGTCAGGTTCCTGAGAGGAGCGATGAGACTGAATCCTCCTCGCCCTCCTCTCGTTCCTTCTTGGGACCTCTCAGTGGTTCTAACTGCCCTGCAGAGTGCTCCCTTTCAGCCTTTGCAATCAGTGGAGATTAATTTCCTGTCTATAAAGACAGTTCTGCTGGTTGCACTGGCCTCCATCAAGAGGGTAGGGGACCTGCACGCATTCTCCGTTGACGAAGCGTGCCTGGAGTTCGGGCCGGCTAACTCTCACGTGATCCTGAGACCCCGGCTTGGATATGTGCCCAAGGTTCCCACCACTCCCTTCCGGGACCAGGTGGTAAACCTGCAAGCGCTGCCCCTTGAGGAGGCAGACCCAGCCTTGGCACTGCTCTGTCCAGTACGTGCTCTCCGCACCTATGTAGACAGAACGCAGTGTTTAAGGACCACAGACCAGCTCTTTGTCTGTTATGGTGGGAAGCTGAAGGGAAAGGCTCTCTCCAAGCAAAGGCTGTCTCACTGGATAGTGGACGCCATTGCTTTGGCTTACCAGCAGCAAGGTTGATCGTGCCCCCTTGGTGTGACTGCCCACTCCACCCGGAGTGTGGCGTCCTCTTGGGCTCTAGCGCATGGCGCCTCGCTAACAGACATCTGCAGAGCTGCAGGCTGGGTGACACCCAACACATTTGCCAGATTCTACAATCTCCGAGTGGAGCCTGTGTCCTCTCATGTACTCGCTTCAACCAGCTAGTACCGGACCCGCTCGGATGTCTTCGCTTGCTCGCCATTCCACTCCACGGACTGGATACGTGCAATATTTTCCTCAGGTGAGCTTCCTCCTCAAGCCCTGAGTTCCTCCAGCACTCCTGACGTCGACGTCAGTGTCTATTGCCTGCGCGTTGGCTAGGTGCATCCGTGTGCATGGTCCCCCCTCTGGGCGACCCCCACATGTGTATTTCCACTGTAAGCCTCCCTTGGCAAGCCACCTTGCCACCCCTGGGGTTGAAATATTGCACCTGTGGCTGGACACCCCAGTGTTCTCCATATGCATCCCTCTGGGTCATATGTGTATTCTCTAAGGTGGGGCGGAGTTGCGCCATGCAAATTCCGCAGACCCATGGCATTCCTTTGACATTGGCTCGTTTTGTAATACTCGAAGTTGATAGGCTTTCTAAGCGAAACCCCATTTGTCGTCATCCGACGTAACCGAGACGTTCTCTGTGCCACTTCTTTTACACGTTTCTTTTCTAGAGTTGATCTTGTGGTTTCCCTGGCCAAACCTTCACCAGCCCAAGCACCTTCCCCTACCCCCACACCAAAAAATAAGCAGAAGACTAAATGAAGAGGAGGGAGAGAGAAATGTGGAGTACACTGAACAAAGAAAGTCTTACGTTGCAACTGCAGCCCTGCGTGTTAGGCAGGGTTGGGGTTTGGGGGTTATGAACGAGCGCTATGTTTTACAGTACTTTTCTTATGGTGCTAGGAGACTCTTCACCAGGTCTTCTCAAAAGAATAAAGCAAAAAGCTTCTTCAAGAAGCACACGTCAGTCAAGAGAAGTCTAGATGTACACCTATTGTATTCATTTATTTCATTCAAACTGTCTTTTATAACTAGTAACTGTATAAAGCTGTGTAATATTTATAATTCTTGGTTCATTTTGCCTGACAAGGCTTTTCTACTGATTTTCATAGAAACAGCTGAACCTAGTGACAGTTGAAGTATGTTTTTCTCCACTAGAGGGTACAATGTGACCACAGAATCACAGCAGTTCTCAGTCGGAACAGCATGTTACAGAAATTCTGTCATGTAAATTTGTTTAACATTTTTGGAGTTTACAATTCACACTGGGATTGTTCTCATTTGGTTTTTAATATTTAAAACCGAATGTTACATGGCAATTCAAAACTAATTTATAAGTCATTATGAAACAAGTTGTTTTGCTTCCATGTCTTTGTACGTCTTTTGTGCAACACGACCCCCAGTAAACATGTGTTTTCAATGTTATTTGCCCGTTTTTGCATCTGACAACATACAAAACATCTCATCATATATTTTGGACCTTGCACGGGAATAAGCAGCTGCTGAGGATGCAGCTGATTTGAGATGACTACGGAGAGTCCAAAGGAACAGCGATTTCAAAACATTCAATTATATACTGGTTGCAGATGACATTCTGATGCTGAACAGAAACAAATATAGGATGTCTTTTGATGATCAAATACTTCCATGCTAGGATTTCCATAAACAAAATATGGTTATTGTCTTCACAGACTTTTAAGAAATATCTGTACCATCCGTAAAATGACAACATTTATGGAGGGGACTGTTTAGAAAGCACGAGAAGAACATTTCGCACACTACGAGAAGATGACACTCAATGTAAGGAAGGTCATTCTGTCAAGAACAATTGCACTCAAAGGAACATTTTGTATTCATTGCCGTTTTATATAACCTACTTCAGACTGACTTTACTTTAAATTGCCCCTGTGTGTCATTTTTTGTTAAATGGTAGTAGTGGGAAATCTCTATATGAGGATATGAAGAAAATTGACATTTAGACGTTATTCACTTTATTAAGCTTTTCTAAATATTGATAGGCTATGTAATTAAATGCCCTGTCTGACTAAATGATGGCTGAATTGTCTGAATCTACTGACTCAATTTATAAGGACCATAGGCTAAGTTTTTTTCGACAGGCTTTGAAGTTTTGTACTTGTACTTTGATTAGTACTTGACCTCTTGATATTTACTGGTGCCATCACAATAGAGAAATATTCTATTTTTAGCAACAACTTTTTGCGTTTAAAAAAAAAACATTTTAGATTTAGTTTATTTTAGATTATTTTAGATGGAAATAATTATATTTACACACACACATTTCTCTTTAAATGTTTTTACGCACAAAAAAAGTTACAATAAATAATTGTTTTGGCTCTTAATTTTCAATAAATAGCTGGGAATTATTGCTCCATGACAGATTCACAAACATCCTTTTACTGGAAAAAAAATGAAATATGATGAAATGACTATAATTACAATAACCTTTCATCTGCAGCTAGATGGTGACATATGTAAATAAGCAGTTTTCATAACAGTAATGTTCATTGTTCTATAAAAGCACATGCATATGATCAACAAACATACGATGTAGTGACAACGCAGAGGACCCACGAAACTTTTTCACATCATCAAGCCATTCTTATTGTTGAGCCATGTGTCAGTCTTTTTATTTTTTTTTCTCTTCTTCTAACTAAACTTTTGGCTCAGATAAGTGATGTATAATAAATGGAACAATAGGGAAAACACACAATCTGAAGTTTGTAATTTAACACAGCATTTGGCAAGCAATGTTCATATACAATCTTGTGTGTGTTGAGATTAAAATGCCCCCCCCCCCCCCCCCCGATCATAAAGCAAAGAAATAAGAAAGATAATAAGCTGTAATTTTGTCCGTAATGACATCCTCACAGATGATTCTGCCAACACGTTTTGAGATTGTGGTTGTATAAAAGCGGCAAAGGGAAATACTATCTCGAGTACGTCAACACGAATGAGCTCGACTTCTCGCTTTTGAGCAGAAACATCTGCAATGAAATGAAATAAATAACTAAAGAGAAAATATCCCAAAATGCCTTAAAGTGACATCAAATGAAGAATCAAATTGACCATGCAATTCATCAGCAGCAGTCAGACACAAACAACACAAGATTCCAGCTGCATCAGACACGGATAATGCACCTTGAGCCAATTAAAGAATACTAAGTTGTGTATTCGTATTCTCAAGTGATAGAACATGATCCCACAGCAGGATTTGCCCAGTGGCATTATGGGAAAGAAGCAGAAGTAGTGCACTACAGTTGAGTGCAGGTCATTCTCACTAGTCGTACATGAGGCTGTCTGGCAAAGACGCGGTAATTGAGTTTTAGAGAAAGTGCTTTCACAGCAAGAACTGCGTCATGGAGAGATCATTGCAAGGTGAGTCACAGAAATCTCTTTATAGGTCAGAAAAGTTAGAATTGGACACATTTTTACCACAGTGGCTGGAATGAAGTGAATGACATAGCTTTACTAATTGATTTCATAAAAAGAACAATCATTCATTGCTGGTTTAATATTATTGATTGTCTAAATGGATCCTCGCTACAAATGTCTGTTCATTGATCATACACTCCATGTTTTTTTTCTCTCTGTATTGATGTGCACTATCTGCTGAGAGCTCTTGTACATTTACCCGCCTCACTGACACACACGTGAAACACAAATAGAGGTTTTCATAAAGTTCGCAAACTACTGACCCTTTTGACTTGTAATTTTATAGCGAGCCATTTCAATTAAGAGTTAAACTCTTTCTCTCAGTCTTTTTTTGCCTTTGTGAAAGCCACTTGAATGATCTCATTCAATGAGGCGAAATGCCACAATGGCCCCAGATAATCACAGGGACAGACTAAGAGAGAATCCCTTTGTTCCTGAGAGAGGGAAATTATTCAAGGAAACTTCTGCGAGTGAGTCTGGATGGGTTGGGTATCTGGACAAGAGGAAGAGGTCGGGAGAAGGGAAACACAGTGATACAACCAACATGGATAGGTTAGGTTCACTAATGTTTTAATCACACTGCGGCTGTATCATTCAGAGTGTCTATATCTATATATCATTTTCTTTGGGTTTGATATCCTTTTCTTTGCACTGAAGGTCAAATGAAGCACTATCACAGATATGCAATCCAGATCACTGAGGAAGCTGTGAAAATAGTTTTAGAGTAAAACAGCTATAGAGGCCTGTGCAGTGGCAACCTTCTGGGAATGGATGGACAAATGGAGAAATAGCAGGAAAATTAAGCGAGAGAGAGAGAGAGAGAGAGAGAGAGAGGGGGGGGGGGGGGGGGGGGGGGTGAGCGGGTGATGACGTATTGAGACATTGAGCAGAATCAATTGTTCACGTGACCATCCCCCTCTGTAGGGCACCTTGATCCCCTTGGTGTTAACAAAACACTTGCATACACATATTCTCCCTTATAACACCAGATGTATTCTCCACAACCTCTGTGTCCGAGCCTGAATTGCCTAGACATCCACTAACAAAGAAAAATGTAGGCTATTTTTGGGCTCCTATAAAAAAAAAAGAAAAGAATAAAGAAAGCCTCTCTCTTCCAGCGGCCAGAACGGAACCAAGAAAAAAACTCATAAATAATGATTAGAAAGGAAGAGAAGTTGGGTGAAACAGTCTCACAGTTTCAATCCAATAAGGGTAGTGCAGGGAAGTCACAAGGGTGTGTGGGAAAGCAAGACATAGCACAGTGGTATTACAGTAAAGCGCAACATTTTGTATTGATTCATATACAGCAAAGTCATAGCATACTGCAGTGATTCTAGAAAGATTTTGCTTTAGGTTTTTCTTCACATGTTATATTGTGCTTTTCTATTTGTATAATACTTTTTTATGCTGCCACTCTAGTGATCCTGGCTGTATTTGTACCATATACTGTACATATCCATTTGTCTTGACCTTACATTGTGTTAAACAATAACCAGTAATATTTTTGTGAATATTGTTTTTATGTTTTTACTACAGTATATATTACCATATATAACCATTGTGTTATGTTACGAATCTGTATCTTTAATTAGACGTTGTCAACAGGACGTTAGTAATCTCGGTCAGTTAAGCATGCACCCAGCATGAAGTTTGCAAGACTGTCCCCTGCAGGTCTGAAAAATGCCAAAGCTCAGTGCCCTTTCATGCACACTATCCACGCTACAGTATCTCTAAAATCGCTTCAGAGCAAAGTGTATCCCATCATTCACCATATAACGTGCCCGAAATTGTGAGATGTCGAAAAAAAAACCCCGTTACAATGTAAGTTAAATTAATTAGATGGGCTATTACATTTAATTTGGTAATAAAGCATGATGTGTTGCATATTTTATTGGTGCAGAGAGGAGTATGTATTTTGTAAAACATCTGCTTTTTATCACTTATTAGAAGTCATCTGTAACATAGGGACTGCTGAACAGACATTTAAGTATTAAAAATATAAAATTGTAAATAAAGTTATGTGTGTTGCATCAAGCAATTACAGTTCTACTCAGACTCTGGCGTTCTTCACACCCACTTGAACCAAATAAAATAGTAACGTAAGTGATTAAGTGTGGGTATTGGGACAGGGCCGCAGATTCCAATAACTGACTTACTATTAGCAAAACTGTCTGTTTTGTGTATTGTTTTGATTGACTCATTAAAATAACTAGTTCATAAGAGTAATTTGTCTCGTGACATTGTTGAGAACACTGCGCTTTATTAGGCAGAATTATTGTGTCTCTCCATTATTGCATATTTATTGCCAAAAGACAACAGGCACTTACTGGTGACAGGCTTTATAAACAGATGGTTTTCATCTAGACGTGAGATAAATGTGGCTGATTTTAAGTTCTGCTGCAGCTCTCTGGTTCCTCTTTATAATCTCTTTAGGAAGTTATGATGAACCACAGTGTCCCATTTACTGACACAAATCAATGGGGGAATGAATGAATGACGCATAACTTTCCATCTATCTTCATTTGATATCTCATTAGACAATCGAAAATATGACTCAGCAAGTATGAGGAATGTTACTGTCCACTGAAATGTAGCCTAGATGTGATTGATACATTACTACTGATGTTGATGTAACTCATACTGAATCAAGGAAGTATAATTTACCTGGAGAAGGCCATCTATTAGCATTCACATTCATTTCTTAAGTTGCTCGATCCGATCCGCGATGCTGTCATCTTCGCTTCAAAGGCTGTCAGTTCAGGTGTTGTGCAAGATAATGCCAATTTAGGACTAGGTGTCTTCGACTTCGGCTGCGGTTGGATTTAACCCATCGGCGAGATTTTTGCCTCTTGCATTCGGAGGAGGACGAGTTGAAAACCGACACTTTCTGCTTCCCGTACTATAGTGACACTCGCGCGGTGTTTTGCACAAAAAATACACCGACGTTTCACACAAACAACGCCTGTATTAAAGGGATAGTTCACTTTGAAATTAATTTTTGATATGTTTTAGCTTACCTCCAGTGCATCCAAGATGTAGGTGTCTTTGTTTCCACAGTGTCTTCAATTTTGATAATTTTAGGTAAAACCGTTGTTGTCTGTCAGTCATACAATGGAGGTGAAGGGGGTCCTCCTCAAAGAGCAGTCAAAATTAAACATTATTTAATGACTCGTAAATGTAAGTACACATTGATGCCCTAAGACACGAAACGAGTGGTTTTTGTGAGAAAACGAACAGTATTTATATTGTTTTTACCTCTTGTAACCACAGCCATGCCCAAGTTATCTGAGGGCGCGGACGCTTCCGTGAAGTGCCGTCGCCAAGGCGACATCTAGTTTATCTATGCACCAGTCTGCGTACACGTCACACACGGAAGCGTCCGCGCCCTCAGATAACCTGGACATGGCTGTGGTTACAAGAGGTAAAAACAATATAAATACTGTTCGTTTTCTCACAAAAACCACTCGTTTCGTGTCTTAGGGCATCAATGTGTACTTACATTTACGAGTCATTAAATAATGTTTAATTTTGACTGCTCTTTGAGGAGGACCCCCTTCACCTCCATTGTATGACTGACAGACAACAACGGTTTTACCTAAAATTATCAAAATTGAAGATACTGTGGAAACAAAGACACCTACATCTTGGATGCACTGGAGGTAAGCTAAAACATATCAAAAATTAATTTCAAAGTGAACTATCCCTTTAAAAGAAAGATTTACCACAGCATTTTAAGGCCAATCAAGACACATTTGATGGAGGCTTATGTTTTATAGCCTACTGTTAGCAATAAGATTACATGAAAATATTTTCTACTGCTACAAAAGAAAGAAATATTAAATAATAATAAAAAATAAAATGTTAAATATTGAAAGTGTTATTTGATAAAAGTATTTTTGAATGACTATCAACAGAGATAAGTTTTTTTATATAAAAAATATTTTTTTAGATTAACAGTGAAGTTAATAAATCTGATTGGCTTGCTTTAAAACTTCTGAAGCAAAAGTTAATCCATGACCATGTAGCGTACTGAGTTTTTTCTTTTTTAAATGTTTTTTCCACCGGGCACATGAAAAAAAAAGTTTACCACTTAGCGCCAAATAAAGACTTAACGCTTTGTCTCATTTGATGTTCCTTTATCTGACAATTTGTCTGTCAAGAACATTGCTTCCATGTGCTCTCAGAGCTACCTCAGATATCCCTGTTCCTTACGTCAGCTTTGTCTCTTAAAGACAACAGGGTGACTTTTAGCTCTGAAGGAGAAAAGAGAAGAAAAGGAGGAGGCCTGTAGCACCTTCTACCCCGTCGTCATAAATCTGTAATGTTGGACTCTGTGCTAACCATCCCCCACTGTTCCCCTCTCCTCTTCTCCCTTGTCTCCTGTAGGGCTGTAAATCTGCGCAGGACGGTCACTCTGGGGCCGACTGACTTAATAGTTTAATGGCCGTACAGCGTGGCAGGTGTCCAATATGGCTGCCGTTGACTGCATCTCCATTACGTGTCAGCATTGATGGTGGGTTCAGAATGCAAGAGAAGGAGAAATGCAGACAGACAGACAGCATAGCAGATTGTTCCACTATAATAAAGTTAACCAGTCTCCTGATAACAATTGCACGACAGGATTTTGGGATGCACTTTGCTGTGTTAAAATAACACTTTATGGCCTTACTTTATACTCCAGCACTGTGCCAGCGATGGTCCACGTTAATCTACAGTGACAAATGACTTTTCACAGGCAACTAGAAGAATTTTCCAGCATTCCCGGCTGATTTTTGGAATTCAACGAGATATTCAGGATTATAGGCTAATGTAATGCAGACGCCATATACACTGAAAGTGGTCTGTATAGTTTAAAGGGTTAATTCATTCAAACATCAAAATTAATTGCAATTATAATGATTGGAGACTGAAGCATTAAAGATTCAAAAAGGACAGAAAAGCATCTTAAAACAGTGGCTCTCAAATAAGGGGCCTCAGCAAACATCCAAAGTGGCCATGATGACTTAAAGATATTCAGATTGTTATTATTATTAGTAGTATAATTAAAATTAACATTATTATTAATCAATTGAGATAAAATTAACTTAATTAAAATGCTAAAAATACACAAAATCAAGAAATCCTTTTTTATTACCCCCTCCCCTCAATAACTATTGCTACTGTTTGTTTCCCAGATTTTGTTTCTATAAAACAAGCAGCTTTTTCATAATGATCAGAAATGCTGGAAGAAATAGCTTACCATATATGAGGGGCCCTTGAAAATTGTGTTGGACAATGGGTCAAAAACGTTAAAGTCGGCATGAAAAGGAAGTTGCAATTGTCTTTTCTTCCCTATTGTGAAGTATATCTGAGTGAAAAGGCTTCTCGAACAAGAACAAATGTAGGTCAGGACTTGATTTTGGATTGTTGTGGTTTGCTATTGCTGTGATCTCATGTGAGTGACAGGTCGTCCTGCCCTCATGTCAGCGAACACGTCATCAGAGAAGCGAAGTCATTGCAAAAAGAAGGGGAAGTTATTTTGATTTTAAGATTATGAGGGCACATGAATAAAAAAAAAAAGATGTGCACGAATAAATCATTGGTAATAATGCAATATTCCATAAAAAGCAAGAATGGTCCATTTTGATTTCATGGTGACCCAGTGCTTTAAAAGTGTCATAGAAGTCTATATAGCTCTTGCACAATAAACCAAGTCTTTTGAATCTGTATGTTAGCATAAACTTTCAGCTCAACTTCATGTAATAATTCAGACCAGTTTTGCGAGAAGCTCAATGTCTACATATTATAAAGCTCCCAAAGGTTTCGTTCTCCGAAGATACTATTGCAAAAATATTTATGCAACATTCCACATTGTGTCTAGAGTCTCGCAAAACTGAGACCTTTGCTGGAACGACAGAACGTTTGCTCATCCAGAACAAATAAGAAATCTCTCAGGTGAAAATTATAGACCTCAGCACCTCAAATCCCTCAGATGGCTTTTTAATGCGGTGAAATATCAGATCCACCGCAGGTCAGACACACAAACAAGTGATCAGGAGACAAAACATGAAAGGATATACAAGCTCTGTCAAGAAACGGTAGAAGAGTACATATATCAAAGCATGGCTCGTCTCTGGTTTGTATAAGGTGATAAGAGAGCTGTTATGTTATTGCGCGCTCTGTAATAGATTTGGACTGAGAATCTTTATTAGTCTAAATGGATTTATCCTGGATGAGTCCAACCTTATACTTTATTGTGGGACTGACACGTTTTTATATAGCGATGGTGGATGCATTCCGGAGAGGTAACTCACTGATGCAATAAACAATGCTCTCATTGAGTGTTTGGGGGTCCACTGGCTGACATTTCCCCAAACGGTGAGGCCAGAATAGTATAGATTGCTCCCTGGTGGCCGCCACCTCATTAAAAGCCTGCTGTTTAATGGCCTTGCCTATCCAGTTGCCCAGCAGATAACCAGTTTGTTTACCTACAACACAAGTCATAAGTTGACATGCAGACAGAAGTCTGTGCCGAAAAGCTTACAAGCACTCCCGCCGCCCCCATTCACTGTCTCTCGCGCCTTCCCAGAGAGCATTTTGCGGTCTGAAATTTTCCATCATCGACTGGGGGAAGTTTGTATAGCAGTCTTGATGACTATAGAGCAGCATTTTAGGTATTCATCAGGTTTTACAACCTATATTGACTCTCAAACCCTTCTAATAAGATTGTGTGCGGATTTGAGAAGTAGCGCTGTAGTTATATTATACATGTTTTTTTGCAAACCAATATGGAAAATGATGTCATTTTAAATGTGCTGCACAATAAAACAAGTCTCATGTGTATTTTGTACAGATATGTTTGCAATTTTGTAACATAATTGTATGCTATGATTGTCATCTTTGTTTGTTTGTAAGCATAAAAAAAAAAAAAAAAAAAAAAAGTCTCATGTGTACAGGTTACATCGCTTTATTTGATTATCGATATGCTGTAATTCAAAGATTGCTTTGGTTATGAGATTCAAAGTTCATGTTTAACTAAGCCAACTGGGAAAAAAAGTTACCAAAAAATGATCTAATTGAGCTTATATAAACAAAAAGCCGCACTGATATTATGAGCTCAGATATTTACATGATACATAATACAGTATCTATACACATACTGTAAGCAAGGGCAAAGTACATAAGAATGTGCCTTATGATGCCAATTCACATCTACTGTACATCAGAGTGTAAACAAGAAAACTTATGGCGAATGAACTCTAGCAGTCACTATCTGTCATAAGCAAACAAATCTCAGTCTGTCAAAATCTCACCTAAAATGACAACCAATCTACAGTGAATAAAAATAGCATTTTACTGAGGAAAAAGTCGTAAAACAATCAAAGGGCAATGATCCCTATAGGAAACTTTGTACAGTCTTAGTAATGTCAACCATAGTCACCCTTGACCACTAGATTCGTAATATGAGTGAACAATGAGACTCATATAGACAGCCTAGGTAATTTATTTTATATTGGACTATACTGTAAATGTTAAACAAGCCAGAATAATAATACATACTGCCAGGGTTTTCATTGCGCATTATATAGACCTTGTATATACACCAGTAATAGTTCAATGTTCTAATTACTGTATGGCGGTGATTTTGTTTTGCTCCCAGTATTCTCGTAAACAGTTTTCACTTTGGGGCTGGCAGTGCGCTGCAGTTGACACGAGGACGTCATCACACGTAGTGTTCTCTATGGTTGATGTAAACTCGGTCCGCCCCGTTCTGATGACAGATCCACTCCTGATAAGACAGTGAATGGTGAGTGGGGCTGTGGAGGTCTCTCCGAGCCATTCTGACAGGCACCCGTTCGGCCAGTTCGTAGTGCCTCTCCATCCGACGAGCCTATAAAATGACACAACAGATACAGTGCATATTATATCCAAAGTATTAGTAGCAGCTCCACTGGGTGCCGATACTGTTAGACAATGAAATGTAGTGTTTAATGCGATTAGATGGATAGAATGCAGTGGGGTTTTTTAGGGCTGTCAATTGAATTTAGGTTTTTTTGGGGCACTTTTCATCTGGTCAGACTGGAAAACCAGCTGCTGACCAGATAATAAACCAACTTTGTTTGGATGGGAGACCAGTTTAAACCAGCTAAGACCAGCAAACCACCTGAGGCTGGTGTATTTTTCAGCAGTGTTATGTGTTGGATGGGTAAAAACGCCAGGAAAGACAAAGAGAGAAAAAAACCTGGAAAAAGTGAGCTAAAAGAGAGCATATAATCACTCCTTAAATAATAAGAAACATGCCAGTAATCATCCTTCGAATGCAGCTCTATTATAAAGTACCACAGAAGGAAAATAAATCAGATTAAAGAGCCGGGACCCCCACAGTGTGAACAGAGTAGTGTGAGGTTTACCTGAGAGAATGAGGCCACCTGAGGGGCCTGAGAGGCCAGTGGGATGACAGGAGGTCTCTCTGTATATGGAGGAGGAGGCTTGTGAGTTGGAGGGAGGTCAATTCTGTAGAAGGACAAAAACCAACAACAGTTAGAATAAGTATATCACTGACATGTTGCATGATTCGCAATCTTATTTGCAGTGACCCCAAAATATCTGGATACATAAGCCACAATAAAAATACTGTATGAATGATGTTAAGCCCAATTTATACTTCTGCGTCGACCTCCCGCCGTAGCTACGTCGTAGGCTGTGTGTAGCGCGCGTACCCTGACGTGCACCTCTCCAAAAATGTAACAACGTGTCAATTCTACGCGGACGCAAGCGCTGTGATTGGTCTGCTAGAACCCCTCCCTCGGGTTTCACATGTTCCTTATGCATGTGTAATTGCACGTCAACGCGGACAACGACGCAGAAGTATAAATGAAAACCAACGCGTAGACTATAGCGTAGAGGCTCCGGCGTAGGTCCGACGCAGAAGTATAAATCAGCCTTTACTGTTTAGGCGCTGTTTTCAGGCTAAACATTTCACAGAAGTTTGTTCGATGATAAAACTTACAGAGTCACTGTTTGTATTCTTGTCAGTAGATGGAGGAAATGGTGGTCAAGAGCCAAAAGTATGAAATGTGTTTAGTCTGAGGAACAATAACAACCACACCTTCCTTTAGTTCTGGGAACGGAATGGAACTTTTGCTCTGTTTTACATCCATGGCAATACTGCCAATTTCTCAAGCTGAACACAAAATAATCTCATTTTTAAGGCTAAAACAAATCTGAGAGTCTATGAATCCCATGCAAGGTGTCACTTTTGACTCAATCCCCAGCCACTCAAAATGGCCTCCATGTTTTCAAGCCCCTACGGCCACACTGTGGCATACTTTCTCATGCTCTCTGGACCTCTAAACCAAACACCAGCAGGCCACAATAGACCCCGTCTAGAGTAACTTTGTCTGGGTACACATGTGGGTGGAGGTGTATATTAGTGACATACATAAATACAACTGGGGCCCATTTTAAAACTCCAAACAAAACTGAGAGAAATGGAAACAAATGACTTTGTCTTCTTGTTTGACTTGTGAATCATTGCAATGACTCTCTACGAACATACAGAATGCGAACAAACAATCATGTCATTTACATTTCCTTTAAACAATTCATCATGGTTTGATGTCCTAAACTTCTACAAGATACTATATTTAATTTATAGTGCTGTCTCCAATGCATATAACAAAGCTAAAACAAGCTTTTTAAAATAATTTTTGATCTGATATTGATCACAACTACACAAGCACTTAAGAGGAGTGGTCTCACATCCGTTTAACTTAGGCTCTGATGGACTAATGGCTATTTAGCTTCTGCTTTGTATATCCCTATGCATTGGGAGGTCCAGAGGGTCGCCCTGCTCTGACCTTGAATTCCCAGAATGCCTAATATATGGAAAGATACCTGTTCTCGTTCCCTGGATTTAGATACTGCTGTGTGTGCCATAAAGGTCATCTACTGAATGTCATAAAGATAGCCTACAGTCATTAGTGGACAAATAAAGAATCTTAAACCTTCACTGCTAGTTTTAAAAGCTCTGCATTGACAACCAATGAGAACAAGCTCTTAAAATACATTTCGTTCACACCTCTTGGTTAAAAACCCTTTAGGGAAAACATGTCAACTGTGACCTCTCCTCATATATTTTTCCAATGTGCATCCATAAGCTCCTCATTCCTCAAGGGATCAACTTTGTCTTTGTTTTTCCACTTCCTGTGGACATTAATCTCCAACCATTAGTAGTACATTGTTTTGTGTAATTGATTTTCAATGGACTATCAGTCTGTCTAATGTGTCCCCTGCCCTCCCCACATAAAGTCTAAATCAGACGGAGATGGAAAAGTGTACAACAGTGTTTTATGGCTCATTAAGTCTATATGGACTCACATTAGCATTTCCCATGAAAAGTTATGACCGAAATAGAGGATTAAAAGCAGGAGATGTCATCCATGGACTAGAAAGATGATATGGTGAGTGCATTTGTATAGCATGAGCAGGAAGAGACGCAGACAGGCCTGGATACTCTCACTGGTTCCACCTGGATGTCCAAAGAAACCAAACAAGGGCCAAAATTTTGGACTTCGCATCAAAGTGGGAACGAGATTGCATTGTCCTCATGTAGTTTTCTCTCATTTCATCTCATCTCATGTACTCAATGCACAGTTAAAGGTCAGATTAATTTGTTTTCCTCCTCAGAGAGCCTGGAACATTTTCCAATTGTCTTGATTTTAAGCCAAGACCTTGACATATAAACTACTTTAATACTTTAAAGACTGCCACATCATCCAGTGAAGGATCAATTCAAGGCCACTTTAGATGAATGAGAGCTATCAAAACGAAATCAAACACAAAATCCTCACGACTCGGAAATGAAAGTGGAAAGCTAGAAAAATGGAAAGAAATAGAAAAATATATAAAAAATACCTCTTAAAGCATTTGAATGAAGCACATTTTCTAATCTTTGACTACTGGGTGCAATCAGATCTAAATGTCAAGAGTTATATGGACATTTTGGCTTTCATTCATGCATAAGTGCCATGTGTTAGCATCCCAAATGCTGCTTATCTCTCGCAGATTCCCTGCTGTCTCCAGCGCAGTGGCAGCAACATCCATCAGACCAAACCCAGCTGTCCCACCACACTGATCTGCATGCAGCCTGCAGCCAAAGTAAAGCTGAGCCAAGACACACAGAGGCTGAACAGGGATCAGCCGAAACAGATAAGAGTGCCTCTTGCACCTCTTCTGAGAGTGACGCTTCTGACAGCACCGCTGAGAAGTTTCAGAGAGGGCTTACTTCAAGTGGATAAAGATAGCACAGCAGAAAACATGTAATAAATAAATACCAACAGTCAACAATTCAGCAAATTTGAAAACCTAGACAGGATGCATTCATTTATAGCTGTTTTAATTTAAATTGCCAATTAACATCACAGCCTTCAACCTTAAAGGGATAGTTCACTTTGGAATTAATTTTTGGTATGTTTTAGCTTACCTCAAGGGCATCCAAGATGTAGGTGTCTTTGTGTCCACAGTAGTTTCAATTTTGATATTTTTAGGTCAAACCGTTCTTGTCTGTCAGTCATATAATGCAGGTCTATGGTCACTTCCTCAAAGAGCATGCACAGAGAAGTCCAAATTAAACATGATTTAATGACTTGTAAATGTAAGTACGGCAAGCGCCGGAAAGCGCCGGAAGTGATCTCTCGCGCGTGTACGTCACTGAGTGACTGAATGAGTGACGTACACGCGCGAGAGATCACTTCCGCCGCTTTCCGGCGCTTGCCGGAAAAGACCGAAGCGCCGGCGCCCTCAGATCACTTGGACGTGGCTGTGTTTACAAGAGGTAAAAACGATATAAATACTGTTCATTTTCTCACACAAACCGCTCGTTTCGTGTCTTAGGCCATCAATGTGTAATTACATTTACGAGTAATTAAATCATGTTTAATTTGGACTTCTCTGTGTATGCTCTTTGAGGAAGTGACCATAGACCTGCATTATATGACTGACAGACAAGAACGGTTTGACCTAAAAATATCAAAATTGAAACTACTGCGGAAACAAAGACACCTACATCTTGGATGCCCTTGAGGTAAGCTAAAACATACCAAAAATTAATTTCAAAGTGAACTATCCCTTTAATTTAGGCTTGCTAGTTGGGCGTAAACTGTATTATATTTTAGTAATATTAACTATTTTAGTCAGAGAGAAAATTCAAATTTTAAATGTGTACACTACCGTTCAAAAGTTTGAGGTCGGTAAGATTTAGAGGACGTTTTTGAAAGAAGTCTCTTGCTCACTAAGGCTGCATTTATTTGATCAAAAATACAGTTAAAACAGAAATATCATGAAATACTATTACCATTTGAAATAACAGTTTTCTATTTTAATATATTTTAAAATGTAGTTTATTCCTGTGACGGCAAAGCTGTATTGTCAGCATCATTACTCCAATCTTCAGTATCACATGAACCTTCACAAATTATTCTAATAGTATCAGACTAATGTTTTGGGGGAAACCATGACACCTTTTTTAGAGCATTTTTAGAGCATTTATTTGAAATAGAAGTTTTTGAAAACAATGTCAAAGTCATTTTCAATCAATTTAACGCATCCTTGCTGAATAAAAGTATTAATTTCTTTTTGAATAATGGTGTACATCTGCTAAAAGTTAATTTTGTGCACGTTCAAACCTAACAGACAGCTAACTCCAGAATGTATCCAGTGTCTCCTTAGCTGTCATGTTTGGATAACAAGCTCAGGTCATATTACAGCAGAAACTACAATGGAAGATTTGAGAAAAAGAGAAAATTCTGAAGCAAATTTTAAGGTCCACAAATCATATGGAGGCCAGACGTTTGAGCGCTGAGAATTGTCTGCCTGACCCATTTCCCCTGTTCCCCGATATAATTTTCCCTGTGAACAGCTGTATCACGCGAGACTCCGCTGTGACCTCATCCTCATGAGAACTGCATCCATCATTATGGCTCTAGGAAACATATTTTTTTGCTATGTTTGCTTAACTATTTATATTCATTTATTTACACTAGCTTCTTCTTTTATAGAATATGAGAAGAACGTTCCATATTCAGTGTTATTTCTGCTGACACAAACACTAACAACCTGTGGCAAACTAACAATGGTGGGTCCTTGACAGAATAAAAACATCTACAACAAATCTGTGGTCTTATGTGGGCACAGTACATTTGTAAACCTGGGTTACCATTTTAATTTGCATATTTATATGGCGAATAACATGAATTGGATGAACACATCTCAACTAGAAAGTCTTTCTCGTCAAGATTGACAAACTATTTTAAGCCACTTCAACCTTCAAAAGCAACATACTGTAACAGTTTCTTTCCTCCAGTTAACACGCTTGCCATCACTGTTTGATCAATGTGTTTGGCAGCCAGCAGTCATTTTTCTACCCGCTACTGAAACTAAACAGTGTGTGAAAGTTTTAGCAAATGTACAGTGTTTTGCATTCTCTCACTAAAGTATTGCGTTCAATGGCGAAACTTTGCGCTGCATCGCAAGACATTTGAGGTCTCACCCAAAGCTAATACGTTTTCCCCCTCACCCTTATAATATTTCCATCACAAAAGTTTTGCAAACAATTGCAAAGTTTCTTGAGGGGACACAAATAATTAGCAAAAAAATGTTTTAAGAGATATGATTAAGAGATATAATTTCCCCTCCTATTTCATTATTATTGGTTATCTATTGCTAAACAACTCTCTGTAAGATGCTTGCAATGAATCATATCACATTATACTTTTGGCACCATAAAAGCGGTGCTTACCCAGGGGTTAAAAAGCAATGCTAACACTTTAAAAACTACAATTGTGAAATGCCACTTTACCAGAGATTAATTAGTGGCCTCAAACCAAGATCAAAAAGATGATAACCCGGGGTTAAGTGCAGCGTGAAAAGCCATGTGAAGCTCTATGAGGAGAGCTGCCTTTTTGGAGGCTGTGGGAAAAGGGAGACTGGCTGAAATCACACATCTAGAGAAACTCTTAGTGACAGAACAATAAAGCGGCTCTTTTAGCATGAACCAAAAGAAACAAACTGAAAAATCAACATGCTTTGTCAAAAAGGAGCTATCTGAAGCTCTTTTACCCACACAAATTCTGAAATGATGTATCGTGTGGTAGTCTCTGTATACTGCAAAAGCAAATACACAACTGTAGTCTATTGTGGCTATAGTCTCTCTTTGTGATGACATGCAGTTGCCTTTCCAGGAAATAAAATAAAATCATCTTGACTGGGTTTCTGGGCTCAGTAATAATTGACCAGACAAAATATATTACAGTTAAGGCATGAAGCAAAGGTTAAGCCATAAAAAGGTGCTGTAGCGTGAAATGCCTCGTTCTGACAGGCCAACAGGTGAGCCGGACAGTGCTGAAGCGGAGTGTAATGTACTTAATGATAGCCTGACTGGAAAAACAAACTCTTCAATAAACTATTCACTTCAATAAACTCATTTTAAACATATGTGACTGAGTAAATCGGTTTGGCATGTTAGACCAAAACTGTATGAACACATCGATGAAACGCTACTAAGAAATCTGGTACAAGTCTGTAAGTTCACTGAAATGTAGGGTGGTGATAGTTAAAGATTTATTCTGTCAGTCCAAGTTCAAAGGAAGGAAGTTGCTGAGGAAGCATGGTAATGATTAAATAATTCACCAGGTAAGTGCCCATGTACTGCCCCAACTGAAGGTCTACGTGTGGCAAAGCAGGTGACTCAGAGTCAAAATATCTCAGATGTCTGACAATGTCTGTACCCATGCAAACAATGTTATGTTTTAAGAATGCTTTCCTTTTGTTCTCTTCAAGTTATTAAAATGCAACTTCTGAATGTTCTGGGAAAGTTAAAAACATCCAGTTTTTTTAAAAGTGTTTGGGACAACTTTTTTCTTTATTTATGCAAATGTTTTTTTTTTTCATCATCATACAAATGCTAAGACTAAGACTAAGACTAAAGGTGCAACATTTTGGGCAAAAATACAATCTAATAAAATAAAAATAAATAAATAATTAAATTATAGAAGAAAATAAAGTACTAAAATGAATCATGTTCTATTAAATTAAACTTAAATAGTTGATTCTTTAACTCGTGAATTAAAGGGCAGTTTACATGGGACCATTTTAAAAACACCAACTAAAACCAGAAAACTTTTTATGCGTTTTAGCCATCCATTTAACGTCAACGACGTTTTGGGGGCCTGAAAACACAAACTTTTGAAAACGGTTTTTGAAAATGATACTGTTGTAGTCTCCTTGTAAACTACAAAAAACGAGAATTTGTGAAAACTGTGACGTCATGTGCATGCATATTACATGTGCAGTGTTTCTCAGCGACATCGCCAGCTTTTCCATTTTTAGTACATCGTTGCCGTGTAAACATACCCTTAGTTATTTAAAACAGTAATGGTAAAAGTGTTTAAGAAACGTTTTCATGCTAAGGTTTAAATGTGTTTAGCAAGTCTTCGTACTGTTGAGAGTGCTTGCTGCTGCTTACTGTGAGACATTGTGGCTGTAATGTATTTGAGATCTCATCCTGCATGTTGTTAGTTAAAAGTCAGGTTATCTGTATAGGTGAAGATATTGCATGTACTCACACTTTATCTGAGTATGTGGTTGGGGGAGCCTTGCGTGCTGTAAGGAGCACGATGGTGAAGACGGTGATGAGGAAGAGTGCCAGCACAGCTCCCATCACAGCCCCAGCAATAGCCATGGAGGATGTCATCTGCTTCTGGGACATGTCTGGAAGGCGTCCACAACACAGTGAGAAAAAAGAAAAGCTAATTAATAAATAAACACGGCCAACGTTATTGGAGGTACATCAAGTTCCACAAAAATTATCATCAGCGTGTTACAATTCAAGACAAAAACACTGCTGATCTTGGCACAGACCTGCTAAATGCCACAAATTATAACAAAAAGCACAAAACAGCAAAGCACAGCCCGTGAAAGCAACTAACAACTGTATGTAACACACACTTAAGCTCAGCATGTGTTGATGTAGATTGCAAAAGACAACCAACAGAACAGCAAGAGACTACAAGACAGCTCAGTTAAATAAGGATATGAATACAAATTCAACAATGCCAATAGTGAGGGCAGAGTAAGCAAAAATATTGAGTTCATACAGCCATAAGAGTTTAGCAAATAAATAGATACATAAAAGTATCATTAAAACCAGATACATTTACTTGAACAGCAAAATGAAGACAGTATAGCTTCATCTGAAAATGCATAGCCAATTTCCACACTATATATGTTAAATGTCACAGTATTCATAAAAGGGTGGGCAAAAAGTACCCAGGTGACCTACTATTCGCAGTGAGATTCTCAAGTGTGCATCCAATCGACACTTTACTATCCCATCAGGCCATAGGAGAGAATTTGTGAATGACAGTAAAGTGACGCAACTGACACTGGTAGGTCACATGACGAAGTCCAGATTACAATCAATCATACACACATTTATACATACGGTAACACTTTAGTTTATAGGGTCCAGTTCTCACTGTTAACTTTGCTTATTAGCATGCATTGATATAACAAGGATATTGGCTGTTTATTAATACTTATAAAACACATTAAAGCCTTATTCTGCATGCCCATATTCTACATCCCTAATCCTACCCAATACCTAAACTTAACAACTACCTTACTAACTATTTATAGAGAGAATTAGACCCAATCTAAAGTGTGACCGAAAATACTTTTTTAAACAGTTGCAAAGTAAACTTATTTAAAATAAATGCCTATACTCAGAGTATGTATTTCAGATGCAGCCCATGACTTGATTTGAGAAAATAAGTATTAAGCTTTACCCCCCAACTTTCCTATGAAGATTTTGGTTACACTTTATTTTATTTATGCATTTACTGTAAGTAATATTAATTTTACATCTGAAGTACATTTTACTTATTTTAAAGTCTGCATGAAATCAAAAATGTCCCTACTACTATCTTATTGCATGTTCCTGGTTTTATGTGATTCATCATTGAACGTAATACCAATGTAAAAAAAAAATCAGTGAAAATAATGGAAAAAGGTCATTTGATGCTAACCATTTGCTTTTTTTAAAGTAAACTTGCATCTTCTCAGCTCCATTCTTACATGTAAAACCCACTTATCAAGACAGTCAGTTTCTGATGGATAAAATCAATTTTCTTATTTTTACTCTCAAATGTGCTAAAAAAAGGAACAAAATGGGTTAAAAATAGCAATGCACATTCACTTTAGGGGTGTTTAATACAGAAAGTAAGACAGAAAAAGATTCAGAATACGATGCCAATGATTAAATTGGTATTTTACAGTGTATATCATCTGTCCTGGATTTAATTGTTAATCAAGAGTCAGAGTGTATGAAATAGCGGTTTGTTGTTACGGCGAGTCAGGTGGATGGGTGGGTTGTGCAGCGGTTGGCAGGGGCAAGCTGTAGTCAGCCATCTCTAAGGCTCAGTAATTAGGACCTCATGCTGCCCTCCTTTAAAGCCTGCTGTTACTGTCTCTCCCACCCCGCAGTGCTCTTATGCTTTGCTGCACTCCTTCCTCCAGCTTTCCCTTCCACTCTCTTTCTCTGTCATTACTACCTCGCTCGTTCGCTTTTACGGTGAGTTTCACACTCTTGCGCAACTTCATTTAACAAGTTCACCAAAATCAATGAGGTTGCGGAGATCACAAGCTTGTTATCCCCACAACGGGACTCCAGTAAAAGGATTACATCCATTAATTAAGATTAATTAAACTCAAAGTGTGCCCCTTTGGATGATCAACAGACTTCTTGGCAAAGAGTGTGGAACAACGACACCATATTACCCAACTTTGCCACCTGACCTATGAAACGCCACAGTTTGAGGATGTTGGGCATGCTGAAAAAGAATCACAATGTCTTTTTTTCCCCTAACACAAATCAATTGAACGTATTATCGAGCGTTTTCCCCTAAGGTTTTATGGCCGAGAACCCAATAATTACCACAGTGGTGTTACTGTCAGCTCACCTCTGCTCTCACAGAAGAACAGAACAGGATGTTCAGTCACAAGTCATACAATAGTGATTGTTTAAGTGTAGCAAGCGGTAAATATTTGCCCTGCTGAGCACACGTCCGGCTCATGAGGGGGCTGAGAGAAGCTGGCACTGAAGGAATAAAGACAGTGAGAGCAGGAGGTCAAGGGCGTAAGGTGTCATGGGATCGGGGAGGGAATATAAGGAGAGGGGATTGTGGCTATAGGGGACTGTAAGCGCCAATGTGAGCTGGGATAGAGAATATTAGTAAAAAGTTTGGCACTGAATTGGAGGTTTGGCACAGTCGTGATTCAACCAGGCTCGTGACAGATCTTTGCACAGCAAGTCCATACGGCAACATCAGAAGGCAGTGTAATAAAAATATGACTTCCGCAGCTTGTGAAGAGTTAAAAGTGAAGCGTATAATTTCTGTACCACTAGCATCACAAGGGCTGGGTGATATGGCCAAAAATATTATCACAATGTTTTTTCAATATCATTTGATATTTCATACCATTAAAGGGGAAGGAAATGCATTCCACGTTTGTTAGATCTCAAGAACAAAAACATACTCTACCTTTTCATTTAGGGCCTCATAAAATCTTTTTAATTGTTCCCAAGTTCTGTTTTTCTATTTTGTATTTTATAATTTAATACAAATGAATCATCAAAAATTAAGTCTAATGAAATGAATGAAAAATACTTTAACCATTTAATCAATATTTTAAAATGTATTCAAATGAAAATCTAACAATTAATTTACAACAAAACATTACATTTTATTTTATATCAAATAAGGTCCATGCAGCACAACCAAACTTGTATACTGAATATAAAATAAAACATTGATTAAATAAACAGTACATCATCGTTGTATGATATTCCTTAAGATAATAGTAAAAATAATGATAATAATAATAAATAGAGCTGCAAACAGCAATTAATGTGGTCCAAGCGCTTTAAGGCCTTTCATTATGTTTTATTTATGAAGCCTGTAACCACCTAAATGGGTTTTCCACCATAGATGGAAAAGACCATTCACAACCAAAACAGACAATTTACTAAGGAAATATTTTAAAGCTTTTTAACAGTTATTGAGGTAGAGCCAAAAAGTTTCCAAGTAGGTTTTTGAAATAATCTCCAATAATAATGAACAATTCAATTGACAGCGTTGGCCAGAGGCAAAGTTGCTCAGAATGAGGAGTTCTAATATATGGTACAAATATGGCCATATGGTCATGGGCATGTGCGAAAAATCTCGTAATTATAAAATCCTTTACGCACGTGAAAAACGCAAAGGCGTCCCCCGGTGGCAGATTTCTTTTGAATTTCTCATCGGCCTCTAGGGCTGTGAATCAAACAGGCCCAGTGAGTTTCGATCAGACTCTGTTAACCTTGACTGACAGCTGCTCGAACTTCATTGGCCGAAGGTGGCCATGTTTTTCGAGATACTCAAATATCCTCACAGAAAATCACGGCACCTTGGACAAAGACACCACATGCCAGTTTTCAAGTCAATCAGACTGTTGCGTACTATAGGTTTAGCCATTTTTGTTTTGTTTTTTCCCTTCATTTTATAGCACCACCAAGTTGCCAGTCACCATGCCCTTTTTCACGCAACCACAGACTGAGCCCATACATAGGTGTACAGAGTTTGGTGAAATGATCTTTCACCTGACGTTTTCTGTCACGGACGTGAATCGAAATTTCTACTTTTTTGATAATTATTGACAATCAGAGTCCAGAGAATCTTTCTGCACTGGTTTGGTTCCGATCGGGCAAAAAAAACCAAAAAAAAAAAACCTATGACTAGTTTGCAAATGTAGGTTTTTCAAAAAATCCAAAATACACAAAAATTTCGACCATTGATTCCGAGACGTTCGCTCTGTCCGCCTTGAGCCAAGGATTCCAATGATATAAGACACTTGAGATTGAGGTTTAGGAGTAATGAGCCATTGCGTACTTTTGATTGCTGTAGAGCTACTAAAAAATGACACACAACAAACAGAAGTCGTCATAGTTATAAAGAATTAGCCTTCATGTTAAGGTGTGATCACATTTACCATTGCTCTGTTAAATTTCATGGGCGAAATCCAGTCATTTAGCATCCTAACGATAATAACAAGAAATGGCTATGGCCAATCATTTATTTTTGTGTACAATGCAAGATATTGAGGATTAAGGATAAGAGAGGAACTCTGTTGATAAGTGAGAATGTTCCTAACATTAATCACATTTTTATTTTATTTTTTTATTTTACCTTCCAGACTCTTCTATTACTAATTAGCACATATCTTAGCATTCAGTCCAGCATGTCTCTATTTATCTCTCTATACATGTTTTCTGAAGGTTTAACTTCATTTGGGATTATATGTGGTTCAGTGTACGGGAACAATGGTCAGGGATGGTGACAGGGCTCGGAGGGGGCAGGAGAGAGGCGATCATTCTACCGTCTGGCGTGTAATACCACAGATGGGCCCCCCACAGTGAGTCACAAGACCCCCTTTCAGTTCAATTCAGCAAGGGGTTAAAGCTGTCTGTTTGCTGCACAACATTCACCTCACATATTACAAGTAATAAAGCAACATACAATTTGATTTATTCACTCCCAAATCCATATAAAGATAGAAATTGTAGGATTTCCCTCATGAAAAAAGTTCACTTTAGAATACTTTTAAAAAGAGTGATTATTACAGATCTAATATACTTAAAAAAATAATAGCCTACTTAAGTGCAAACTGAACGT